TGTTCTTATCGCCTTTAAAACAGCAGGCTTCGGCAACTGAGATACCTCATCACAAAGAATGCAAGGAACAACTGGGGGTTCAAATTATTAACACGCTACTACTTTTGCACCAACATGACCAGGCCTCCTTGTTTAGGGCCATAGGCCTCTGAGGTTGCATTTTGCAATGCCCGTTTGCCAACAGTTCAATTCCTCCCCCTGTATTTTTTTAAGTTTACCACAATATAAATCTGAATTATACTATCATGCCTTCTAAATAAAATCTTCTGAAAGAACTCATTCCTCGTTCTAGTTATAAATGTACTGTAGCACAAACTATAGCAGAGTTCTGTGAACCTCGACTACATTCATAGTAGAGTTCAGCATCTGGACAAATGTTGCTAGTGGCTAACATTAAAAAAACAGCTGCTTTTAAAAAATGGGTTGTCACTATTTGACAGAGACAAAATAAGTACAGTGGCTACCCACAATCACCTGAGGAACAATGGAAAATCCATGGATTCCACTCAAAGGTCACCATACCCATGGCTGGATGGCCATTTCTGGAACCTGAAAGAGGACTCCTCTCAGAAAAGTTTCTTCCTCTGGCAATGAAAATAAGATGATCGCAATGATGATAATAATAATCCAAATAACTAATAATTTGCTGGCCTTTCTTGCCTGCTGGAGTTGGGCATCTCACTCAGCTTAAAGATCAGGTTTGCCTTGCCTTGCCTTGAAGCTTTGTTTCCTTCTTGCATCATCCTTCAATAGCCATTTGCAGAATGATTGGATCCACTCCATGTGATTCAAAGCTTTGTTTTGCTTTTCAGTGGGAGTACACTTGTCTCACTTCTATAGGATATATCCAGTCCATTTGTATTTTAAAGAGCATGATTCTTACCCCCAGTGCTATGAGCTGCTCTTCAGAGCATTAAATCACAGGATGAGGATTGGCGATTACAATTAGAATGGCGCACCCCTCCAAAAGGATTCAGAAGTACTTCCGATCATGCATGAGCTATTCATTAAAGCAGCTTTGTCTTCTTCTGAGTGAGCCCAATAATAGATGCCACTGCTTTAAGTACCTCTCAAATGAGTTGACTCTCAGCAGAGAGGTCCATGTTCATGTAAGATCCAAGGCACTTCTTCCCAATATTTGCAAACCATGTACAGTTCTACTTATATTAAATTATTGAAATACAATTTATAGTAAATTCCTAAATATTAATGTATTTTCTCAGTAATATTTAATATATGGTATCACTATCATGTTCATCAGGGTTACTTTGCCTTTTCTATCTTGTGACTTATAGATGACAAAGCCATGATGGATCAAAGATTGCTTAAAATGGGAAGATGGAAGCTTCAGGCCAGTAGACAAGTTCTGTATTCCCAGAAGAAAAATGTACTTATTCCAAGGCAGTATTAATAGGATATGATCAATGACCATAATGACCAGAGTCACCAAATTAAGTGAATTATGGAAGACTGGAACTCCCTAAAATGCAATTTAGTTATCAACATGCTAGTAATGAAATGTTATTTGTAGTTATTTTCGTTAACCTAAATTAGCAAACAATGGGAGGAGGGGGAGGAGAGAGAGAGAGAGAAATGAAAACTTATGTTTCACCTCCTTGAATTGTTTGTAAAAATAATCAAGGCAGGATACAAGTAAACAAATAAATAAAAATAAATAAATTAGAGACATGGAACCTTTATAAGCTATTTTCCATTTATATAGCGTAGCAGTGTTTCCTATAGGATCATTATGTTTCAACCACCAGAAGCTATTGCTGGATTTTTTTTAAAAAAAAGTAACTGGATTTATCTACATTTACCATCATGTGTTTTCATTCTTTAAACCTCTGGCAATATGCAGAAATGAGTACTTAGAATTCCTTCGGCCTATTAGAATGAGACTTATGGACCAGCATAATGAGAAAAGGAAGAAAACGCATTGAAATCTAATCTTGTACTTACTTAAATGGGAGTAACTTTCAGTGAAATCAGAAGACTTGGCTTTTGAGATTGCACTGCAATATCTCCACAGTTCCTTGCTTTGCTTTGACTTGTGAAGACTTGCCATTTTCTCTTGTCGCATATTCAAAGAATTCTGTTAAACATTCATCCCCCCCTTCATATTTTAACTTATCTTCAGTAGTTCCATGGAAAAGATTTCCTTTCTTCCTACGCTAAGAAGATTGTCGTGATGATGATGCCACTTAATCCCACAACAAAACTTCAGCTGTACTGTTGGTAGAACACCCATCACCTGCTAGCAATAGGTGTGGAGAGTAAAGTTACACTTACCATTTAAAACATGCTTTTGTCTCCCACTGTATTCTATAGACCACCTTTTAAGATTATACCACAGAGTCAGACAGCCGTAGCCTTTCATTTTTATACATGAAGAGAACAAACAGAGAAACGTTTCTGTATTCATAAGTTAAAAATAGGCAGCAAGTCTAAAATGCATATAGTTAAATCTAATACATGAATTATACTGTTGATCCTATTCGGCAACATATCAAGCCATTGACACTGAAAAGCCCTGCTTTATACTGGCAGGATATTTTCATTTCGTATCCCTGAAATATTTGTCCTTGGACTGACTCCATAAGAGGTAATGGGGCATTGCTAACTGGGGTCTAAGAGCTTTCTTTTGAGGGAAATGGAGTACCAAATCCCTCGGGTTGGGATTTTTTTTCAGGCAGCTCTGCAGCAATGCCTGATTAATTATCCTGACTATAGCAATCCGTGTTAAGATGGAATGCAGGAGGGAGGCTGGAACATAAAATGGTGGGGAGGGGGAGGAGGCTGTATGTATGTGTTTGTGAAATTTAGCCTAATTCAGTTGTGAACAAAAAAATGTGAATCTGTGGTAACAGGATAGTTGACTTGCACACTGAATGTCCTTTCTAGAAGCTCATTCAAATTAGCTGAACTACAAAATGGGATTATAGGTAATCCTCACTTAATGACCATCCACTCAGTAGCAGTTTGAAGTTATAGCGGCACTAAACAAATGATAACTGTGCCCAGTCCCTAAAGTTACAGCTGTTTAGGTGCTGGGCAGGCTGTTTACACTTACAATCATGCCGTTTTCGCAATGCTTTGGAAGGCCTCAAAGGCTTTCCAAAGGCTTTCTAAAACATTGCAAAAATGGCATGAGCAATCTGGACAATGGCCCAAATGGCTTTGGGAAGATCTGGCATAGCCAGCAGCTGCCTGCATAGACACAAGATACATCTCATCAGCAGGGGGAGGAAGATGGAGAAGGTCAATTGGGGATAGCAGAATCGGCAGAACGGAGAGTGGTGGAAGCAGATGGGGCTTTCAACTGTGGCACTGGGGTGGCTGGCTATGGCTTGGGGCTTGGGGCGTTATTCTGTGGTGGCAAGGGCAACATGAGGGAAAAGAAGAGGCCTGGGGATGGTGGCAACTGGCTGAGACTACTGAAGGCCCCAGGTCTCTTTCTCAGCCCCAGTACTGCCGCCTCCACCACTACTGGCAAGGAGTGCTGCGGTGTAGGGCAGCCAAAAGGGCAACGAGACAAAGGGAGTCAGGGATTTAAAAGCAGAAATCACTAACAAACATTAGCTAGATTGTATGAGTATAGATCTGAAATTTAATACATCAAAGACCAGATAGTGTTTGAGACTGAAAACAGAGTGAATAATTGTAAGTCAAACATAAATGGCAAAAAAAAAAAACCAAAACCCCACCCTAAAGCAAGTACCTGTTTTATGTACCTTGAAGGAACATTACTAAAGATGGGGAAATGGATGAGAAGATTTAAGAGAGGCATATACTAGTAAAAAAAAATGGTGATCAGGATACAAATGATAATGGAGAAAGAATGTGTCAAAACAAATCAGAAATGGTTATATCATATCTCTGGTCACAGTCTTATTTGGAACTGGGTGCGAGAAGAAACGTAACGGTATCTTGAATGCAGTAGGAATGGAACACTTTCAAAGTGTGGGGAGCAAAGAAGAAATAAGTTCTTTAAAAAGCCCATTTGAAAGAATAGCATTGCTTAATGACCATGGCATTTTCTTAACTACGATCGTTTGTTTAACAATCATGAAAAATCTAAAAAAATAGAAAAACGGTCACATGAGTGTCTCAACTTAGAATTACGCAATTTATGACTAGATTTTTGATACTACCGCTCTATATTTGCTTTTCCAATCTTATCCTAAACATTAATTTCTTTGGCTTGCCACTTCCTATTCTTTTTTTGGCACTTTGTATAACATGGCTTACCTTAAAAGTGAGAGTAGTATATATGTATGTAAAAAAGTAACTGAACACTGATTATTTCAGAAACACCCAAACATAGATTGTTCTTGCTCTGTAGGGAAGCACATTTCCAGTATAAAGATTTTAATTTGGTGCTTAAAACTTATTTTTTCGGAGACTTGCTTCTTCCATTTTTCTTCCTGCCCCACAGCGCCAGAATATTAGAAGAGAGTCTAAATTCCTTCCCTCACTTATTTATACATCAAATTTGTATAGCCTTCCACCTCACAAAAAAAGTGACTATGGGTGGCAGAACAAGTAACAAAATAAAAAATAACCATTATTAAAATATTAAAAAGAAGAGAGTGGATGTTAACTACAATAATGGAGCTATCTTGGAATGATACCAGTCCCCTGGGACCCCCAGACCTGACGACATTTTAGGTTTTGTACCTTTCGGTGGAAGAGAAATACACTTGGGAAATGGTATTGTTGCCACTTCCGGAGACCAGCCAACAGTGATTCAGCTTAAAACATACACCGAACTAGCAAAGTAGATTGCTTCTTCTCATGTGACAGAAACTCAAATAACTTTTGCTTTTCAGGCTACTTTTTTATTGTTTCATCATCATTAAAGTTCAACTCTATATACTTATTCATAAAAACATATATAATTACTAATATGGGGGTGATGGAGAGACAGGAGGAGAAGCTTTGTATTCATAGCAGAATCCACTGCAATTTAATATTTTGTATTTTCTTTCCAAAACTAGGATTGCAAATGGAAAATCTATATGGAAATGGATGGGGATGAAATTGCAATAACATATATAAAAGACGTGACGTTTAACACTAATCTACCCGATGTCGAGATTTTAAAAATGACAAAGGTAAGTTTGTAGTTATGGTAATGTTTATGGAGATTCTCAGTCATCGAGGTCATGGTTGTCCCAAAAGTGCTTTTTCAAGAGGCAACTGGACTTTCTGAGACCAATTCTGTGGAGAGAGGTTTTCCGATGGACTGCAGGGGGCATGGATTTGCATGCTGCCTGCATCCCATGGATGGGACTTCGCTTGTTTGTGCAGCCTTGTTGCTGGCATGCCATGAACTGGTGTCGGTCCACAGACCTGGGGTTGGGGACTCCTGCTTTAAAGTACATTCTTCAGGGAGTCTAATACACCTAAAATACAATGTTTTGATCAATCAACTTCAATCTCAAATCTGAGATTGATCCATTAATACATTTTAAACATTTTCAAATGTTGGTCACTTGGAGCCTGTAGCCTGTAGAGCTATGTAACGTTCAGTGTCTTGTCCTTGGACAAAAACCTTATTGCAAACCACAGAAACTGACTTGGAGTGTCATGAATCTGAGATCAGTGATAGATGTTCCTGATATGAATTAGATCAGGGGTCCCCAACCTCTGTGCCATGGTCTACTACCAAGCCATGGCCTATTCGGGATTGGCCATGCAAGCAGCTGGCCAGAACGCTCATGTGCGCAGCTCATCTTTTGTGGGCCTGCAGGCAATCGCGCATGTGCAGGCCACCATGCTGCTTGTGCAACGGCTGCATGAGTGTGTGGCCCAGTTCCCCTCTCCCCTCCCCCAGCTGGGCCGCCAAGCCACAAAGGTTGGGGACTGCTGAATTAGATTAATATGCACAGACTGGATTTCATTCTGCTATGTGATCCCAACAGTTCCCAACATTCTCTTCTTCTTTAGTAAGCTTATTCTGTTCCAACAACTTGGTCTTTAAATGAAATGGTCACTAAGTGAATACATGTCAGAGAGAGAGAGAGAGAGATGCTGTGAAAATCACTGGTTGCTGCCATCTTATAAAGTTCTCTTGCACAATGTCTGGCATCCAGCCAATTTTTCCTCCTTTTGTTGCTCCCTCATAGAGCTGAGAGATTGCCCAAACAAGCAATCTCTTCCTGAGTTGCTTTTCTCTGCAGTGCAGCACATCCCTAAAAAGTGCTAACCACAAACTCAGCTCTGTGACCTTAATTAGTTCATTAGAACCCTCTGGCCAGCTGGCGCTGCTGCCTGACTAGACCTTAATCAGTTTCACACTGAGGACTTTTGTTATCATGTGCAAGAAATTTGGTCATAAATGCACTCACTGGTCAGAAAAAGAAATACCATTTATTACTGTCATATTTGGGAATGGTTGCTAACCAAGGTGGTCTCAAAAAGGGAAGTAGCTGAATTGTGTTGCTGCAGAAATGTTCTGGAAGCCGGTGACCACAGAGGTACATGTCTGCCAAGCCTGTGGAGTAGGAAGGCGGAATTTGGCTGTGTGTTCCCTGGTGATAGTTGATGTGACTGCAACTGAAGAAGCTAATTCTTCATTTGTGACCTGATGGGACAATTTATTTATTTTTAAAAATTAAAATCATTCAGCTTTAATAAAGGCAGCCACAGCCATAATTTTGACATGAATAACATTATAAAACAGTGTAGCTTTTAAAATAAAGTCAAAGAAAGTTAATGCTAAATGTCCCTCAGATTAAAATCCTAGTTCCTGAAGGAAACTCTGGCTTCAGAAAAATTCCATCAGTTATTAGCTGTGACTTATAACAAAGGAAAATATCTTACAAAAATTGCCCCAGAAAAAAAGTGTACAAATTATAAGGGCTAAACACAAACACACAATGTAACCAATTTGATGAAGCTAGCTAAGAAGGTATTTCACACTCTACTCCAATATTTTATTTTTAGAAGGTAAGAAGAATGTTGCATGGTTCCAGTTGGAGTAGCATTTAGTTATTCAGTTAATTATAATACAATTTTTCCCAATAAACCCCGGTTAGGATCTAGAGATGAGATAAACTCTATTTATGCACTGGGTCTTTCCTGGTTCTTCATTCAGGCCCCCTCTGCAGCCCAGTGTCCCTCCTAAAAGCTGCACCTGAAAATCCAAAGATTTCCCCTAAATGACACAGGCTGCCTTACATGCAAGTCATACCTGACCTAGCTCTTTGTATTATCTGGAATCATCTGAAAGTGTCATGATTTTTATGACACCAGATATGCATGGATTAAAAATTTGTTACAATCTTCCTGCCAGATCTGGCCTTTAAAAGGGATAGTGGGATCTGTCAGTCAGTGATATTAAAGCCAAGGGGAAAGTCTTATAGAAGAACAACCTCAGTTTAAGGCACAGTAACAGCTACAAGGCTAACCCGCGGAACCATTTCATAACAAATAATTTTGGAGGAATTAGGTAATTCTGTTGCTGCAATTTAAACATCATTACATAAATGCCTCTGCATTGCTGTTATTTTAATTAACCTAGACCTATCTGCAGAGAGTTGAACAGACAAGTGATTGAATAGAAAGTGAGGCCTACATTTAAGAAACCTTACATCACTTCGAGACAAGGGTGTGTGTCCACATTCATGTAAATTCAAGAGTGTGAATGTGTATGTATGAGAGAGTGACTATGTATTTATCAAACATGTCTCCAGGATTAAGGATGAGCAACTAAGCCATTCAAAATTCTCTTTAGAGTTCCTATTGATTTCAAGTTCTGACCGCATAGATTGCTTGCTTCCAGTCTGGGCACCATTTGGCTCCAACAGGATAGCTTTAAGGATAACTATTCCTCTAAAACAGGGGAATCAAATTTGCAACCTGCGGGCTGCATGCATCAAGCGCTGGCTACGCCGATGCCTGGTTTAGCAAAGGGGGGGAAAAGTCACGATATGTCAGGTGATGACTCCATGACAACACGAGTTTGACACCCCTGTTCTAGAGTTAAAAGGTTCCCCATCCCAGATCTGTCTGATCCTGTCCAGAGGTTTTTCTGGTTCACTGCAATGATGCTGAGTGGTGATGCTAAGAGAAAGATCTATGATCTAAAGCCAAAGCAGGGGTACCGGACACATCCTAAAGAATAGGATGTGACATAGCTAAAAAATGAACTGCATGAGGTGTTTCATAGCATACTGGGATATGAGCACAGCATCCCTTTAAAGCAGCTACATCTTTTTTTGGATTTCTGTAAGATGTGGCCAGAGTTGATTTCTCTTTTTTAAAAAAACATGGCTGCTTTAAAGAGGTGATATGCTTGTTCTCTGGCATGTTTGGGAACCATCTCTTTCAAATCATTTTTGAAGCATGCAAAGCTCTGCTAATTAGTAGAATTTCCCTTCTGAATATTCATAATCCTTCAGAATGAGAAATTGAGAGGGGATTCTCCTTGGCCAAATTTAGATTCAAACAGAAAATTAGAGCCCATTTCTTTTATATGCTAAAATTACAGCCCAACAGCAATGATAAAATAGATTACAACCTTTGTAGAAATTTTCTACTTTTTCAATATATATATATAAAATGTGTATGTTTTAACAGAGGTCACACATGTAAAAGTCCTCAGGTAAATAAAACAACAGCCCCTCCAAAGTTGGAGGAGCAAGGCAAAGGATACCTAAATGTTGTGGGTTTTTTTCTTGCAGCCTCCATTTGTGATGGAGAAGTGGATTGTGGGGATAGGAAAAGATCAGACTGTCGAGTGCACAGTGACTTATGAGGTTAGTGTTTGAAGTAAAATAAAAGTGAGTCATTCATTCTGCCAACGTGATTGCACAACGAGAAACCTGCATTTCTAAATTTTAGGGCTCACTTTTGTAAACGTTTGTAATTACTTTTAAATGACCAATTTCCTATAATTCTGAATGCTATAAACCGTGTTCAGACTGCTCACTGGGAAAACTTGATCACGTAAGTTTTAAAAAGTTTCTTTTCTCTTTTTTCTTTTGACTAACAGTTGTGGTAGGTAACATTTATTGAAGGGATCGCCTTTCTTATCTTTTTGACACATTGCTAATTAGCAGAGATACAACAGGAGAAGGGAAGGGGCATGAAGGAAAATATAAAATAAAAAAATGGAACCAATTTAGCAACATATAATAGGGAGGGAATTAGTCTTTGTATGAGTAGGGTTTTGGATATTTACAAAAAAAGAAAGGTGTTTCATAAAGACCAATAGGATACTTCACACTGAGGTTAATAATTGAAATCTCAGCTCTATCTGTCACAAGGATTCAAGCAGTGAGAGAGGCTGACAGGGAAATTCTGGCCTTGCATGCCTCAGAAGTGGAGAAGAGCTGCTCTCTGTGAACTGGGAAAACAACCCCGGGCTCCTTTCAGACTGCAGCCTCCTCACAGGAATTAGAGACTGGCAGCAAGTTTAAAGGGACCTTGCCACAAGCAGAGCCCGGCAACCAGAAATCCTTAGTGTCTTCTTCCTCTTGCAGAAATGATTATTGACTTGAAGTGCCATAACTACTAAATGATTCTATTAAAACCCAATCGTTAAAAGAATGTCCATCACTGCTTGAGGCGGAAGGGCACAAAGAAAAAAAATAAATAAAAATTACAACGCACCGAAAAAAGTGACTTATGGCCATTTTTCACACTTACAACCTTTGTGACATCCCCATGATCATGGGATGAAAATCCAGATGCTTGGCAACTAGTTCATACTTATGACCATTGCTTTGTCCCAAGGTCATGTGATCCCCTTTTGCGACCTTCTGACAAGCAAAGTCAATGGGGAAGCCAGATTCATTTAACAACCGTCTTACTAACTTATCAACTGCAGTGATTCACTTAACAGCCTTGGGAAGAAAGGTTGTAAAATGGGCCAAAACTCACTTAACAAATGTCTCACTTAACAAGAGAAACTTTGGGCTCAATTGTGGTCGTAAATCGAGGACTATCTGAACTATCTGTTTCAGAATCAAACATTAAAAATCTGGACAAATTGAGTGTGTTCTTGTGGGATTCTGAAAAAGAGCTTGTTTTTCTCTTTTGGATAGGCTGATGTCCACTCTCCCAAATCTACCAAACACATCCAGCAAGTGCAATGGAGTCAGGTGAAACTGCAGGATGAAGTGAAATCAGTACAGCTGAAAATACAGACATCTCTCCCAAACGTGGAAGGCAACCCTCGGAGCAGATCCAATTCCAGTAAGTCAATTGAGGCAATGTTTGGAGAAAGAGCAAATGCCGGAGAAAGAAAACCTTTTCAAAAACCGGCACGTCCCCTGAAACAGGGGTGAAATTCAGCCGGTTCTATCCGGCTCAGGCGAACCGGTAGCGGCGGCTGCGAGAAGCTCCGCCCACCCACGTGGATGTCATGACATCCCTTTTTTGCGACAATTTCAGCCTCTATGCATGCACAGAAGGCTTTGTGCATGTGTGGACACACACGCACGAGCGAAGCAAGTGTGCGCACAGCGCGTGCACATTTGCGAACTGGTAGGGAAGGTAAGTGAATTTCACCCTTGCCCCAAAGCCAGACTTGTTAAGAGGGAAAGGGTCTCTCTAAAGCAGCATTTCTCAACCCCAGCAACTTTAAGTTGCTGGCTGGGGAATTTTGGGAGTTGACATCCACACTTGTTAAAGTTGCTGAGGTTGAAAAACTATGATCTCTAAAGTAACCCATTGGCTTCCAGGTGGGGACTGGGAGGTCTACAGAAATGTAAAAGGTTGGCCTGAAATCTCCATCCATTTTGTACCCTCAAACTGTGTGGAAGCAATTTTTTAATTTATTTATTTATATGCCGCCCTTCTCCGGAGACTCAGGGCGGCTTACAATGCGTTAAGCAATAACGCATTGTTAGGAGATGGGAGTTTCTTAAGGAACCAGTAGGGTGTAGATAATTAAGAAACCCATTTTGCCTCTTATAATTCCTGAGTACTCCTCTCCCACCCCTGGGCCAGGCCAAGCCGACTTTTGAAGTGAGCATCTTGTCATGTTGCACATAGATGGGAACAGGCCGTGAACAAAACAGAATTTGCACATTGCTCTTCTAGAATCCTAGCTGAGGTACATTCACACTTGCATCTAAAACCCTATCTCTCTTTTGTCTTTAACCATCCATTCTTTAGTCATGATCTTAAATTGGATTATAGTATATTTTTATTAATTTCCTGAAGTTGCATGCCTAAAACCCTCATCTTCCAATCTGCTGTATTCCTTACTGTTTGAAATAAAAATAACAAATACAACTAATATATTTGTAGCAACCAAATGTTCGGAGTCTAATGCAGTGCTTTTTAAACCTTTTTATCTAAAAGCCCCACCTATCACTCATTCAAAGGGTCTGCAGTTCATCAGGAGAGAAACAAAAGCCTTGCTTTTGCAAAGGGCATTTAATATTTTTTATGTTTATTTGTCACTTTCATTTTTTTACAACTCAAGGAGACATGCCTAATATTTCTTCCTCGTCCTATTTTCCCCACAGCAGCAACCCTATGAGATAGGTTGAGAGAGAGGGACTGGCCTAAAGTCACCCAGACAGCTTTCATGCCCAACAGAGGCCCAGAAATCATAGCCTTCTTGTTTATAACACCTTAACAGTTCTGGCTCTCATTTATACAGAAAGAGACATTCTGTTAATTATGTCTTATTATTTTCAGTAAGTTTTAAAGATGTAATTAAAGTTGTAATGACTTGTGTCCCACTTGGAGTACTTCTGAATTGCACCTGTATCATCAGTTTTGAACCAAAGGATAGTGATGAAAGGTGTCAGCTCTAAAGATCTGTGATGCGCTGTTTGCGTAGGGGTGGGGGTTGTGTTGGGAGTATGTGTAGTTAACAGAAAATCTGTCTAATCAGTGAGGTGGTTAAAGTTACATTGCAAATCTCTGCAATTAAAATCATCATAACAGTGTCTGAAGAACAGAGTTCAACTGTAGAAACATTATACCTTGAAGATGCACTTTCAGATAGGGAGTTCATATACTCTCTCTCTCACACACACTCTGTGTGTGTGTGTGTGTGTGTGTGTGTGTGTGTGTGTATGCATGCCTTCCAGTCAGTCTTGACTTTCGGCAATTGCCTGGTCAAATCCCTGCAAATGGACTTGGCAAGATTTTTGGAAGTGGTTTGCCTGTGCCTTCTTCTTAGTTCTGGGGGACAATGACTGGCTCAAAGTCATCCAGCTAGCTTCATGCTTAAAGTGGGACTGCAACTCACCATCTCTCAATTTCTAGCTTTGGTGCCTTTAATTACGACACTCCATTGGAGATTGCAAGGAAGAGTCAATCCATTATGGGTCCTGGAGCAAATTAATGACTCCAGTAGCTACAGCTATCAAAGGGGTAATATCAGGATCTTATCAGATCTCTTGTGACTACTTGGGATTAAAGTTGATGGTGCCTTTGTTTCATTCCAGGTATTGACTGCCAATGGATGAATGCATTGAAAATGCACCGTGTGACAAGCAGTCCTTCTCTCCAACATTCCCGTCCCCACAGTCCCAACAACTTAACCCATTTTTTACCCTACCTTCACAATCAAGACACTTATGCAGCTGCTGTGAGGCGGACTTCAGTGCCCACTACCTATCATATTACCCCGCTCATTCAGTCAAGAAGCTCATCGCCAACAACCTATTTATCATCTTTACATCTGAATTCCAAGGGAAGCAGCAGCTCCAGTGCAACTTCGACTTCGGATAGTCCATCGGAAAGAGGCAGCTCCAAAACCAGAAACAGAAATAACTATCACAGCAGTGTCTCTCCTGGAGGGGCAGCAGCTGGAAAGCGTTGGGTAAGAAACCCAGCTACTCCAGGGACACTGAGAAATGCTGGGAAATATTCTAGGTCTTCCCAGTCAACCTTCAATCAATATCAACATCTGCCAAGGACGCATGAGAGAAAGCACCCTCATTACCCGCAGCAACACAAATCAATACCAGGGATGCCCTTGAAAACTGAAGCAGAAGAAGAAGAGGAAGAAAGCAAAGTCAGCGAAGGCGGATGGGTGAAAGTCAATTATTCAAAGAAATCTTACCGACATTCTGTTGGCAAACAAAACAAGGAGAAACCAAAAGGCACTGGAACACTTCAGAGAAAATCCCGTTGATGCTTTTTCAGAAATAGGTTTTATTTTTTATTGCACAGAGCACTGACTTTCCACGGAGAAGGTTTGAAATTGTTCTTAAAATAACTGACAACGAATGTGAAAAGGGGGAGCCTGCAACAGAAATCGCCTGGGAGGAATGACATTAGCACAGCCTTGGGTTCTGTTGGAGGCTTTTTTAGCACATTGTAAGCCTGATATAGAGCACAAGATGTCAATTCTCTCTTTCCTATGAAACAACACTGCCAAAGCATCTGACAGCAGCTGGATAGCATTCTTGGGCCTGAAGCAGGGGCCTCCTAGGGTCCAAGAAGGACTAAGGACCCTGCCACACCTCTGGTGTCTGAGACTCCACCAAAATGGTAGAGCTAATCAGGTGCAAAAGGTTCTGTTTTTTTTAGTGTGTCTACTTTTAATCAGGTACATTTTACTTAAGTCTAGTATTTCCATTAGTATGATATTCTAGTTCACCATTCTTTGTTATTTCCAATACTCTGATCCAGTATTGATACAAGGACAAAAAAAAAGTGCTGCTTAAACTTATGAATGGAAAAAGGAATGACTGCAAAAGTTATCATTTCCATATTTTGAGTGCTTGAGGTTGTCTAATGAATTATTTTCTCCTTGGCTTGATTTTGTAGCAGCACCTTCAAGCTACTACCTCAATCCTCCATTTAGCGATAAGCCCCAATCTAATTCAATTGGAATTATTTTTATGGTTAGGGGAAAGTGTTAACAGCTTCCTCAAAGAAGCAAAATAATATAAGAAAAAAGGCCTAATTATTTTTGGTACAACTATTTATTAACCTAAGGTAAAAATCTTATTCATGGTATTTAACTATACTCTCTGTGTTGTCTTTAAGTAATAAAAAGAAACATAATACGTGTATGCAGTATTTTGCAATTCCAGTGAACTTGAATATTTGTTTTCTTGGACATACCTGCAAGAAAGCAAATTCCAGTGGGATTTTCTTTGAAATAAAGAATTAGGTGATATAAAATTAATTCATTTCTCCAATTGCAATTTTCAGAAAAATAATGATATTATATTAGATTCCATTTAGTAAAACCTAACTCCTAACTTAACCTTCCCCTTTTGAATTATAAGGAAAGGAAAAGGTTTTTAAAAATATTGTTTAAAGTAATTTGATACTTAGCCGAGGAAATAAGGAATAAATGTATCTTATTTAACATATCTTTTCTACTTCTTCATGTAGTAGCAGGTTTTTAACAATAGCAAAGTAAACCATTTCAGCCAGCTGTAAAACTAGCGGTCTCTTCTCATTCAAGGAGCTATTTCTTTGATTGGCTCAGGTCTCTCCTATTTCTAGGAAGAGTGGTTTCCTAGGGGTAGTGCAGGTGCTCCCTATTTGTTCAGCAAATTATTGGAGGAGAGCTTTATAGATGTATTTATTTATTTGGTAGATGTATATGGCCATTCCCTCTCACATGGGCAACTCTAGACAGCTGACACAATAAAATATCAATTCAATCAGGATAAATAAATTATACAAAGCAAAAGAAGAATGTATATCAAGCGCAAAGCAGTCAATAACAAAGAGATTCAACTGACAGGCTCAGCCCCCTCCCAACCTTCACACTTGAGAGAAAAGCTGTGTCTTAAGGGTTTTATGAAAGGCTAGCGGGGTTGGGGGACAATCTAATCAACACTATATAAAAGCTCTCCTGGGTATGGCTGCCACTTGTTCTTTAAACAGGAGCTGTGAGATCAGGAGGACCACAAAACTGTGCACTGATTTTGACAAGAGTAGTGCAATTCCACCCAGAACTAAAGATGGAAAAATCACCAAATCCAGCAGGCCCTAAAAACCTGGATAGATTTGAAACCTGTTCTTCCCCATCCAGTTGTCCAAAGCCTCCAGCTACAAAGACAGAACCTTCATAGCATTACTTGGGCAGCCCAAGACCAAAGATATACATATGATATCACCAGCCTTCTGATGTTACTTCACCCCATATCTCTGAATGACCTTGTCCAGAATCTTTATGTAAATGTTAAAGAAATGCGGGTAGAAAGTCAAGCCCTGAAGAACCCAGCAAAAAGTGCACATGGACTTAAACCTCTCCACAACCCATTAATACTGACTGGAATTTATTTCAGAGGAAGGGAGTAGAACCTGCAAGGCCATGTCCCCTGAAGGATAGCATAACTAATAGTACTGAAAGCTGCAGAGAGAACAAGGAGATACACTAACCCCACTTATTATTTATCACATTTCTACTCTGCCTATCTCACCTAAGTGACTCTTAGCCCTTGCAAGCTCTGTTTGTTGTGTTTGAATTCATGAAGCTCTGAACTCACGAAAAAGCAGATTAAGGGTTGAAAGAAAAGGGAGAGAGAAATGATTATAAATAATTGAAATATAGCTGAGAGATGTTGTTGTTTATGTGTTGGGGCAGCTACCTTCAGAATTTATAAACTCACTAAGGTGGATTATCAAAATGTCCAAACCAATTCCAGGCTTCCAGGCCACAAAGAACACATTTCACTCCCTGTGGGTTAAGCTCACATTCCTGTTCTTCAGCTTTACTACACTCACTACTTCAAGTCCAGCAATATGACGGTGCTTGGCTCAAGTAGTTGACCGTCACAAAGAAAGAGAGAGAGAGAGAGAGAGAGAGAGACCCTCTCAAAGCTCTAGTAGGTGTATTTGCGTCAAGGGATGAGAATAAGGTAAGATTTTGGCAACCCTCATTTGCAGCCTTCTCCTCACCTACACAACATCTAGGCTGCAATCAACGCTAAAAGAAAGACGAACAGTGAGACTAATGTATGCTGTGGTGGGTTAAGTGGGCGGATGTTTGCAGCATCTTAATTAGTGAACAGGCATGCGTTACTTGGCTGCTTTCACTCAGGAATCTAAATATGGATAAAGGGGCAAAAAGAACATGTCTAGCTTAGCACAAATGTGAAGTCTCTCCATCACTGTATTGCCAAAATGATCAGCACTGTCCCTGGCAGGCTGTTACCTTAAGCACTGCAACATTCTATAACCAAAGATCAAGCGAGTTTAAATTTCATACCAAACATAAATGGTTGTGGTTTCATTTAATTTACACCAAAAAGATTAGAATTCCTGATATCTGTAATCCACCTTCTTTGATGGTTTAGTGTGATAGCATTGTTTGCACCTTTGTATTTTAAGAAAACTCTCCCCATTTCATTATTTTCGTTCTTTTACTTATAGCCTAAAATAGCAGCCTTTTACTGCCTGGGAATTTGATGCCTTATAGCTCGGTCAAGCTAATTTATATGCAGACTATTATGTCAATAAATCCACTTTCTTCTTCCCTGCAAGAGAATGGTTGCGTGAATTTTTGTCTCCAGTAACTTCCTCCAATATACCTGACCATATTTGGTGATCAGGAGTCTGTTCAGGTAGCCTGCTTGGGCAAGAGATCAAAACCTTCCACCAATGACTATTATCTGGCAACTTGCTGAGCTGATTTAATGAGATGAAGTTGCTCAGAAAGACTTTGTTCTTCCATTTCCTCCTGTGAGAAATCACTCAAAACAATGACCTCTACAGGTTGCTGTTCTTGGAACAATTATTTTTTTCTAACTCCACAGAGGCTGCAGAGAATGAAATGATGTCTCCTCATCTCTATGTGTTCTACAAATTCACTCCTAAGGAATACTGAATTTAGATTTAAGAACATACAGGGATTTTTTAAAAAAACTTCCATGTAATATGGCCTTTGAAGTAATTATTTTTTATATAAGTAAATGTGTACTTAGTTTTATCATTATGAGAGGGGGGTAAATAATACGAGCATTTTATAAGAATGATCTTTTTTGAAACCTGATTTAATTTTCTATGCAAATATATTGTTTTCTTTTTCGTTTCTTGATGATCTCTAAATAATCTAAGAAACAAATAATTCGAATCAATTTGTTACGAGACACTGACGAGTGGTGTTATGGAAATAAAATAAAGTTACGTGGCGGGCCGTGTTAGAAAAACCCTCTCACACTTGGAGACTGAATATGAGGGAGAAACTATTTGGTTATTGAAGACTTAATTATTCCTGCATAACTTGCCACTGAATTCTGTAGTTTAGTAGCCAGGCATTTCTTCCAACAGCTACAACCATAGTTGTAGCTATATGTGTGCAGTGATGTACACATAGCTACAACTATGTATAGCTATGTGTGCAATGATGCACTTTTATGCCTGAGGGAGAAAAAGAGTAATGGTGGTGTGGATTCAGACTGAAGAAAAAGCACAACACTGAGGAGGAGAATCATATCCCTTGCAATGATTCTTGGTTGCCTGCTTTATGAGAAAGAGGGACCCAATGGAAGAACGAAGATTTTTATAGAAGTTGAGGCCTACAAGGATCTGATTGGCTGCCCAGTTTGGGGAAGCTAGACAGGTCCTTGCCCTTGTAGCTGGGGTGAGTTCTGATGTTAGACCGAACAGCCCTTTTAGGAGGGTCAACAGAGCTGGGAAAAATCCATTGTAAAGGAAAAGGAAACTTGAGGCCATCAGCTGGTGGAAGATGGAAGGTTAGGGTTTCGCAGCTCTTTACTCGGGTGCTGTTCCTTAAGAGGGCTGCCTTGGCCTAAAGTCTGAGCTGGTGAGGAGACTTCTATGTTTTGGTTGAGATGGGATTGAAGGGGGATTTCCTTGTCCAGGGCAAGGAAGTCAATTTGGGTCTGATACAGGGGTGAAATCCAGCAGGTTCTGACAGGTGCTGGAGAACTGGTAGCAGAAATTTTGAGTAGTTCGGAGACCCGGCAAATACCACCTCTGGCTGGCCCCAGAGTGGGGAGGGAATGGGGATTTTGCAGTATCCTTCCCCTGGAGTGGGGTGGAAATGGAGATTCTGCAGTGTCCTTCCCCTGCCATGCCCACCAAGCCACATCACACCCAAGGCACGCCCACAGAACCGGTAGTAAAAAAATTTGGATTTCACCACTGGTCTGATAGGATTGGACAAAGAAAAACTGGTTTTGACCCTGTTCATGTCTAAAAGTTAAGAGAGGGGTAGAAAAGAGTGCAATTTCCATTTTGTTTGTAAGATTTATTTTTTCGATTACAATGGTTCACTTGAGCCCAGAAGCTGGGAAGTGAGACATGGCAAAGCTTTTATGACTTGAGCTGTGCCATGTCACAATTAGCTAGAGAAAATAAACCCAAGGAACATGATGTAGGCAAGGACAGAGAGGCCCAAAGAAATAAACAAATCAAGTGGTAACTAACTATAGTTGGTGGTATGATAACCACATAGCCACACAATTATGTCTTTTAAGCTAGGGGTCCCCAACCTCTGGGCTGCAGCCCACTACTGGGCCGTGAACTGTTCAGAACCAGGGCGCCCGAAGTGGTGGGCAAGTGCATATGCATATCCCCACTTGCCTGAGCAGCGCATAAGCACACATGCACATGCTCCATTTGCATAAGCAGTGGGCAAGTGTGCCCACCGCTTTGCAAATAGAGCTGTACACATGCGAGAGAGCACTTGCCTGCCGCTCGCATGAAACCATCCCCTCTCCCCCCTTCCCCTGGAAAGCTGGAAGGGGGTTGAATTACAATATTTATTTTACTTTATTTTGATTTTCCAAAAATCCCTTTTACACAAAGCTTGCCATTTCTCTTTCCAGTGCACATTTGCAGATATTCAAATATTTCCATAGAGAAGTGATGACAAAGTTTAGGCACAGAGTGCTGAAAGCAAAAGGCGCGCGTCCGTGTGCCAGAGCGCTGGAAACCCGATGACCAGCTGGCCAGTGCGCATGCACACCTCTGAAACCTGATGACCAGCTGGCTGGTGTGCATGTGTGCCTCGGAAACCCGACGACCAGCTGGCTGAGCAGGTGCAACAGCGTGCGTGCCCACAGAGAGGGCTCTGCATGCTATCTTTGGCACATGTGCCATAGGTTCACCATCACGACCATAGAGGTTGGGATTTTGGAGGCACATGTCACATTGTTATAATGCAAACTCCACCACTTACTATATGTGCTTGAGGTGTTGAGATGCAATTACAAGAAGGTGAAGCATGCATCGTGATGTCATCATGCTTCTGTATCATTGTTAGGAATAAACGCCTTTGTGTACAGTATTTCTTTTAATATTTTTAAACTGGTAATTGAAGATAAGCTACTGAGTTTTGGAGAAACTAATCAAATTGTCACTGTCTAAAAACTGAATTTAAAAAACTGGAAATTAAATTATATCGTGTTGCAACTTGTAAAAATGCTCTGGGTAAAGCTTTCAGCTCCTTGAATGTATGTATAATCAAGGCACCAACTATATTTTTGAAATTAAACCTGAAACTATAAAGCCTCATAAAATTCTAAATACGAATGACCTTTAAATACACAAATTAAATGTTATCTGCACCAACACTTCATAACATCTTTTTGTTACTTGTTTAGTTGCTGTAAGCTTTCATTTCTTTAGTCAACCCTGGCAGCACATTAGCAGCTTGTGAAATAAGTTTCTGGTTTGCAACAGGCCTTATCACTTCTAGCTCAACTGGATGCCACAAAAATGCCACCCAAGTGCAAGAAAAGAGCCTGGGAACAGTCCCAGCAACATTACTGGAACCTAGTGGTCTTCACTAGCACGGTGCTAGTATATATGCTCTTGGTTTGTCAAGCCTGTACCTTCTACTCCCTCCATTTAATGGAAGGTTATTACTTTGGCCACAGATATTAACAAGCGGGATAATAGCCAGGAAGTGAGAATATATGTTCATCTTTATTCACTGTCACTGCCTGATTCATTCTCTACCACTAAGCCATAATGTAAGCCACACTTACGAGATCGCCTTCTGCCACCGATAGCCTCTCACCGGCCAATACGCTCCCACAGAGAGGGACTCCTCAGGGTGCTGTCGGTCAAACAATGTGACTGGCGACCTCCAGGGGGAGAGCCTTCTCTGTGGGGGCACCTGCCCTCTGGAATGAATTGCCCCCGGAGATTTGTATGATCCCTGACCTACGTACCTTTCGCCATGCCCTTAAGACCTTACTGTTTCAACAGGCTGGGCTGGCTTAATAATAACGAATTTTAATGGGTGTTTTAGTTTTAATATAGGGCCCAATTATTTAATATGTTTAAACTGTTTTAAATTTTACGTGTTTTATTGTGGCTGTGCACCGCCTTGAGTCCCTCGGGAGAAGGGTGGCATAAAAATTTAATAAATAAATAAATAAATAAATAAATAAATAAATAAATAAATAAATAAATAAATAAATTGACTTGTTTAGCTTAGAATGATGTATAAATCTAGCCATGAAGTTAGGGCAGGAGACAGTATTTGAAACTCCCAGCCACCCATGGTTGTGCTGCCCAAATTCAGCCACATACAATAACTGGATTTTGTGCAATTTTATTTTTTAAAAAAATCAAGGGTGTAACTCTGAAAACAGAATGACATGGGGGAGGGGGGAGATTACTTCCGTTTTACCGTTAACTCTACTAAAATGTCTGAATCACCACACATATTTGTAGTTCAATGGGTTGCATAAGAAAATCATTAACTTTCTTTTGTAGGGCAATTGTGAGATTCATATTATTTCTGTATTTATTTAAAGGTTTATGTCACTGTCAATAAAGCTGATGAAATTTAACTAAATGTTTGGCGTAATATGCTAATGTTTTTGCATGACATGCCTTTCTGGCATATTACGGTTATAGTCAACCCAATATGCTTAGAACTACAATAACTGAATGAAAGTCATAGTTATTTCGCATCTAAATCACTACTAGTTATCCGAAGCTTTCTTCATTTCAGCAATACATTTAAGAAATAGGGAGAAGTAATTATTCTATTGCTGCTAAAATACTGGGATCAATATGCTATAAGGATAACTAGAATTGCCCTTTAAAATCCCATTGTAAGATATCTTAAATGCCAGAAAAAAATTTCCCTGATGAGATATCATTTAGCCGCGGTATCTGGACTGCAAAAATTTAAACAAACATTGGATGGTAGCAAAATAGTTTCCGCATCTTTTTTGCTGCTGTTGAGTGATCATTCAGATTTTTGCAGCCCAGTAGTGTTCAACCTGATCATGCACTCCATGATCCATTCCACAGCCTGTTTCTCTACTGCTATTTCTCACTGTATATTCCATTTATATAGCACCATCTTTGATGGCCATGTATGGGTATACAGTTAATAAATTAAGCATTCATTTTCCCCTTGAAACCGTTTTATGATGGCTGCTATTTTCAAATAGCCGATTCTCTTCACTAAGTGATCTAGTAGCATTGAAATTGTTTAAAGACGAACTTCTTCTTTGATCTCTATCAGATAGAGAGGAAATCTGTTAACTTTTTTCCTCAAAGAATACCTTCGCTGTCCATCTATACAACTGTGGGCTTTTGTTTTGCTTATATGCAGTTTTTTAAACATGCATTCCTACACAAGTCAAAAAAAGATAACTTTTTAAAAATAAAAATAACTTTATTGTCATTGTACGTGTATACACAGTATACCCATACAACGAAATTCACTTAACACCCAAAGACCAGGTCCAACACACATAACAATCCCCAAACACACTCCCACCCACCACAATTCCCCACCCCTAAACCACCCAAACATCCACACAACAGACCAAGTAATGCTGTCCAACAGCTCACTGATGGTGGCCCTTTAGTTCATTGTTGAGTGCAATTATAGCTCTGGGATAAAAACTATTCAAAAAATGTGTGGTCCGAGTTTTAATTGTTCTGTATCTTCTGCCAGAAGGCAACAGTCCAAAAAGATTGTAAGCAGGATGGGAAGAGTCTCTAAGAATGTTATGCAACTTCCTCAAACAGCGAGATTCGAAAATGTTGTCCAGGGCTGATAGCTTTGTATGTTTTAAGATGACTATTGGTAAAACTTAGACTTAGAAGACTTAGACTTAGAATAACTGAATTGTCACTTTGAATATACACAAATCGGCATACATTAAAATGAAATTTAATTGCATACAGCCCTCAAAGGGTCTCCACCTCTAATATACACTACATAAACATGACAAATAAATAAATACATACATACATACATACATATACAAAATTATGCATGTACCCACATATATGACACAGAGAAACAAGTGTCTAGTCTGGATGTATATATGTACATGGTGAGAGAAACAAATATTGTGAGTTTACCAAATGGATGGCATAGGGAACAAAGCTGTTACAGAATCTGGAAGTTCTACTGGACAAATTGGGGTAGCAAAGTCTTGATTTTTCCTGACCAAAAATCAGAAGTGAATGGACAAATTACAGCAGCAATGGGTGCCCTGTTGGAAAACCTGAAAGGGTGAGGATAAATCAACTTGGACAAAATCTACAAAGCCAACTAAGAGTTAATAATTACAAAAATCAAGATGTTATTTGTCATGGCTACTTTTGCTTAATAGACATGTAATTGCATGGCTAGCCCAGATTAAAATTATTATCAGCATCAGGAGAAAAAGAGTAGACCATATGGACAGTTCTTTTGCACAGGCCCAGGTGGTCAGTGAAGTCCCTCTGGGTGCCAGCTGAGTAGAAAGGAACCTGTATCCAGTTCATATCTGGTCTGGCCCCAAAGTCTTCCTTTTTATGGCTTTGTAGGACCTACCCGTGATGTATTTTAGTTCCATTTTGATAAGAGGTAGATGGAGTTCATTGTCAGTTCCAGCAATTATTTGTACTTGGTTGTATACTTCTGCAAACAATTTTGATACGATTCCTGGAAAAGAAATTGTCTGGAAAATCTAAAGGTATAGTTGCTTGTATGTGTGCGCAAATGGGGAATCCCTTTCTCTGCTGGTTGAAAAGCACTGGTGAACTAAAGCTGATTTAAGAGACTCAAGTGTGGTCTAGTCTCCAGAGAACAGATTGTTTGCTTTTGTGTGCACTGTGAGAAGCCAATGGTGCAGGTAAGTATGTAATTAAGGGCTTATTTAAAATTGAGATTCTTTTACACCAGTCTGCTGCATGCTCACAAGGAATAATAACCTACAGTTTACATACCCCTTATACTGTGTTTTGGCCTCTGTAAATACTCTACTTTCCAGATTATTCTTGGTTCATATTACCAATTATCTGGGTGCCACACGCGTGGAGTTTGGTCCTAGGAAACATTATAGGGAACACGGAACATACACATCAATTTGCTCGGCAGCAATTTTGAACTACATTTAAATCGGGTTTATCACTCTGAAAATATCTCAGTACAAAAACATCGCTGAAAGCACTGTTGTACTCTTTATGCTGTATTTTCTAAACTGTGAAGTATAGTATCTGGTTTGACATTACTGAAGGTGGCACATACAAAAGCCTGGCGTAAAGGTTTTTGAGACACTCTCTATTGTTTTTCTTTAGAAAACTACATTATTTTTAGCCCCTATTCATGTTAATGAAGAAAAAAAATTGCTCATTTCATAATGATGCGGAAAGTTAATTGAAATGTAATCATCTCTTTCTGGAAGGGAATATAAAGAATGATACTTCATTAAAACTAGACATTCCTATATAATAGTCCAAGAACTGCTTTCATGTTTTGTAATCGTGCAAAGGACACTTGGCATGTGTTTTGGGGCGAACTTTAACTTGTTTTCACTAGCTACAAAAGCAACGTATCTTAAGTACACTACTTCCTTCCAAGGCAAGTTAGGACGTGAGGTGCCCCCCACTCTCTTTCCTGGCGTCCCCCTCCCTTTCCTTCTATGCAAATACTTCATTACTATTTCGCGCCACAGATATAGGTCCTGGAAGAACGATAGACCCCTAATGCTAAACTTGAAAAGAAAAGAAAAAAAAACTGGCCAGCTTTCACAAAAATTTCTTCCTTTTGCTACCCATTACCTTCACGACTATTCGAAAACCGCGTTGTCAGGGGGATCCAGCGGCGTAACGAAAAGCAACGTCTGCGAAAAAGCAAAAGCTCGTCCCTTCCAGGACCCACAGCAGTTTTCGCGGGAAAAAAAAACCCCATCGTATCTAATCCCCGCCTCCGGCGAATTCTAAGTAGCTTTGGCGCGAGTCTGAGTCTTGTGGTTGACCCGGGAGAAGGTTCGGGAGCTCCACGCGTGGCAAATCTGCAGTTAGTAATGGACCCCTTCGGCTTGCAGGTGAGCGCCTTGGTCGCAGCGTAGGACTATCCTGTAGACATTTACTTTTTTTGCTCTGGAGTAAGTGCTGGGTAACTGGCGGGACTGGGTTGCTGGGGAAGGCGGGCGGTGCAAGTAACTCTTGAGATGAGTTTACAAAGATCCGAGGTTGGAGCTATTACGGGCCGGCCAGGAAAAGCTCCGCGGATGTTGGAATGGGAACGGATTTGGAGGGGGGGGAGGAGGAGTAAATGTAAAGTTTGCAATAAGGGCATCTTTGGCTTTTAGCGTTCCTCGGGCTTCAGCCAGTAGGTTGGCAAATGCGTTGAAGAATTGCTGCCCCGCAGTCGTGGTTTTTCATTGCGTGGCCAAGCGCCATTGGGAGCGAGCGTGCTTGCAGTTTAAAAAGCGGGCACATGGCTCGCAGCCTTTAAGCTACGACGCGAAGTTGTTTGGGTTTAAAAGCTTGCAGAGCCAGCCGCCTTATGAAAACGGCTGCTCGGTAAAAAAAAGAAACAAAAACTTTGGCTCCCCCCACCCACCCACCCACGTGGCAGGTTTTTGGTTTTTTTTTTTTTTACCCTGTACGTTAAATAGGTAAGTTTTGTTTTTTAAGTGGAGGGGGGGGCGGAACGCTACTGAAGTCGACGAGGAACTTAGCAAAAGTAACGTTTCGTTTCGAGCCATGACTTTCCACCGTTCTAAGATCTTTGAGAATCTGGAAATCCGGGAGTAAAGCGGCGAGCCTTTAGTAGTTTTTAAATCCTGTAGTAAGAGAGGCAGGGCAGGCTCAACGCAGGGCGATTTACACACCCTCTTCCCGCCTATCTCTCTCCCTCTTTTCTTTTCTTTTTTGTTCCCCCGATCGGCGTGCAACCACCAGCAAGGCAGTAATCCTTTGTTTCACCGCCGGGGCTCCCCCCCCCAAAGAATTTTCCCTCCCAAAACTTGCTCCTCTATTTCTTGGGGGGGGGAACTCCCCCCACAAGTCAAATAAACTTTGTCTCTTGGGGGTATTTCTGGCTTTCGGCGGCGGGGGAGAGGGAGAAAGAAGCCGGAGAAGTGGTTTGGGGTGATGGTAGTGGAGGGGAGGGAAACTTAAGTACTTCTCCCGCGCTTATCGATCTCTTCAAATTTGGTCCCTCCGCCCCTCCGACTATCTCTGTGGCTCAGGGGTCGAGCTGAGTTTTCATTTTTTAGGGTGGCTTCAACGCCGAAGTTGGATACAACGGGGTGGGGTGGGGGGTCAGAAACCCGAAGATCCCACCTTCTCTGCTGGTTTCCTTTGAGCATGCCGCGAAAAGAGGGTGGAGGAAACCGAAGCCCTTCCTTCTGAGAAGGGATCATGGCGCGCGTGGTAGACTCGCCTATTTGCTCTGTAAGAAGGTGTGGACCTGGAGGGTTTGCCAGCTCCTGTGGATGAAAGCTGGCATAGAAATAAATCATTGGCCCGATAAATAATCAGACCGGTGGTTGGTTGGCTGATGTTCAAATATGGAATACTCCTTTCAGGAAGGCCTTGAAAAAGTTGCTTTTAGATTCTTGTCCCGTTCTTTAATCCCAGATTTATGTTTGTGTGTGGGGGGGGGGGGGGGGCAAAAAAGACAAGGATGAGAAAGAAGCGGAAATGCCCTAGGCCTGAGGTTCAGTATGGAGAAATAAGAAATAAAATAATTTTGAGTCTTGTCTCAAGAGCGAAGGCTGCCAATTTACTGTACAATACTGTAGTCACAAGTTGTGGTTACACCTCTTAATGGCACTTGAATATTGACTCAGATAAACCCTTAGCAGAGATCCTTTTTGCCAGTTTTGAATTAAAAATTCTTCGAAATCTTTTTAGATTCACTTTTTCCTTAGCCCATTTGAGCTTGAAAAACAACAGCTTTGTTTTCCCTTCTGTGTTCTCAGGGCTGTGTAAATGGTTGACCTCCCAGTGATTTTATTCTCAAATCAACCTTGTGAGGTGGGCTAGTCGCTGATTCAAAGACATCCATGAAACATGATTTAGTGGCACTCTGTTGTCTTAATCTGATACATTGGCACTTTTAAAATCTGATTACCCTGTACGTAATTGTCAGTTTACTTATTCATAGGCCTCAGAGAATGAGAGACTTTTGGGGACTTGTGCTATGGTCACAGGATTATACTATAATTTAGTTGCCACATTACCTTTTTGGAATACCTTAAAATTATGTGTTGTGGATTCTGCCATTCCTAGAAATTTGTCAGTTGCCATATTTTTTAGTTGAGTGTTCCCCCCCCCCCCAAAAAATCTTTTTCTCCTGTTTTCAAATATTAGTATATTGCTTCGTGACTCAGTACAATATCTGTGGGGGACAGATTCTGAAGAAGAAGAGGAGAAATATCTAACATTTACTGATTAAAAAAACATTTTGGAAAACAATTCTGCATTTATAAAGCCATTTCATTTTTAACAGTTATCTAATCCAGACACTTCTAATTAATTTTTATTTGTCCTTTACAGTACATATTTTTTCAGAAGCGAGATCCACTGGGACTTACTGCTTCTTGGGGAGGATAAATCTATATACTTACAGTTGGAATAGAGTGATAAAATGGCTTTTATATGGGTGAAAAAGTACTTGGGGCAGAAGATTTATATGATTATTTTGCAGAAAGATTTTGACATATCTGTAGTCTACCTACGCAATTGGGCATCTTTTATTTCATCTTAATAATGGCATTTTACTTCTGACTGATAAACCTTTAGTTTGCCATCTTAATCAACAAGTTAAGATATACGATTATGGAATCCCAAGGTGGATCTTGCTTTTGGGAGATCATGGCTAAATCTGAATTATTTATGGTTGTGGTAATGTACCCACATGAATGGTTGAATTGAGCTGATGAAGAATTCATGGCTGCCCTTTATTGAAACAATATACGAGTTGGCCATAGCCAAAATAGGGCTAAAAATTATGCTGTGCTTTTTTAATTGTAAACTGATGGTATAAAAGAATGTTAAACTTTAGTTAAATTTTAACTAGAACTATTCCCTTACTATATGTTGTAGATGAGTTTAAGTCCCATAAAAGTACAGTATATGTCTTGAGAGTTGTATTGCTTTCAAAATATGTAAATGTCGTTAGTGAAATTTTCTCTTGCTTAATAGATTGTGCTTGTTTTACCATAGTGGCACAACATTTGATAGAAGACTCATTTTTTAAAATTAATGTATATTTCAATCTAGTCTGTAGCCAAACTAGATTAGATTAGCTTTATTAAGACAGCCTACATAAAACACATTATAGTAATTAATTGAGTTGTCATTGTCCATTTCACAGGGCAACCTTTCAGGGAAGAGAAAATCCACAGCATTCCGTAATACTAGACTAGTCCCTATGGAAACGTCTTCATCCTCTGATGATAGCTGTGACAGTTTTGGCTCTGATAATTTTGCAAACACGGTAAGTAAAAAGTGCAAGAATAAACAGAAATTGAATGTGTGGTGTTCAGAAATACCCTATTTGTGATTAAAATGCTTTGCTTACATTTCTGTACAGCAGTTATATGAATATACAGTATGAACTCTAATTTCATTTCACTTCTTCCCTTGTGCTCCTAGGTAGTAATTGTTGGAGGTAGATTAGCCACTTACTCTATCCTTTTGAAATGTCGCCTAACCTAACATGCCTGATGATTTGCCATAAAAGCTCTGAAACCATTTGTAAACCTCCTGAACCATTTTTCTTTGTTACAAAAGCTATTCTCTTGTAGTGCACTTGTACAATGTGATTTGCTCTCAGAACAGTTTATGGAAAATAGCTTCTCATTAAAAAAGAGAGAGAGAAAGAAACACATAGTGTACTTATTCTCTTTAAGAAACCAACCTTCAAGCCAGAAGTTGCAGAAAAAATGGCTAAAATATTTTACGAGGATTCAGATGAAGAATCTTTCTGTGGCTTTTCAGAAAGTGAGATTCAAGACGTGCTGGTGAGTTGAGCATTTAAAGTTCTTGATTACTATTGTCCTTATTTTGCACACTGAAATAGACCAAGTTCCTTCAACTTCCATAGTCTGAGAAATACTTGTTTTGATTGAGAAGCCAGCAAGGGAACTCAAAACTGTCAGCCATCTTGTACATGAGGATTGGATCATAGTCTTCTTGTGTAAGATTAGAGCTTCTTTTCCATATTGTGGTAAATTGTGTGATCAAAAAGGGGTAATATTCTTGACAGTGATGAAGTAGCTCTTTTGCCCATGTATAAGCTGGCAAATGAAGCTCCAATAATGTAAATTTATTGGCTATATCTTCTCCATTGAAAAAGTGCTATGCAAAACAAAGCTACAAAAAAAGCTCAGTAAAAATAAAATGGTAGGATAACGTCATGGGTAGCATATATTTTCTGAAGTAATTATTACTTTAGGGAAAATACATATTTTAATAAGCTCTCCAAATGTGAGCAATGAGGTGACTTGATGGCTTTTAACAGAAGAAAGCTGGAAAAGTGAGAAGGAAAGATGAAAAAGGCCCAGTTTCTAATGTCTGCTAAAAATACCTATAAAGAAAAACTCTTCTAAGATTAATTTACCCTCACTTTGCCCTTCCCAGGATCTATGCCTGGAATAATAACGTCTGATTTGAAAAGGTGAAAGGCAGACAGGTACTTAAATGTCCTTCAGTGACTAGGGCCAGATGTGAACAGTTGCTTTAAGTATTCTTTGGTCTACTTGGTACCCTTCAGGTGTCATTTTTTTCCTTGTTTCCCCTCTTCAGTGTTTATAGGCTTTCCCTTCTCCGTCTTTTTAGACAAGGACTTAACAGACACCAGTATATTTAGTAGAACTGTGAAGACACTTCCTAATGGTTTACTCTGGCATGTCAAAGCTTTGAAAAGTGGGGCTTGACAACCTGGTAGACCTTTGTAAGAAGCTTCTGCTTGATGTATTTAGCCCCATATAAAGCGGGAAACTCCTTTCTATATTGTTTTAGAAAAATAGTACTATTTTATGTGCAGATAGTTAAGTGTTCCAACAGGGCCTGCAGCAGGGGAACAGCATATAATCTGACATTACAGCAGTATCTTTCAGTGTAATTTTTTTCTTAATTCTTCCAAGTCAAGAGCAATAGCAATAGCACTTATCGCTTCATAGTGCTTTTACAGCCCTCTCTAAGCGGTTTACAGCGTCAGCCTATTGCCCCCAACAATCTGGGTCCTCATTTTACCCATCTCGGAAGGATAGAAGGCTGAGTCAACCTTGAGCCGGTGAGATTCGATCTGCTGAACTGCAGCTAGCAGTCAGCTGAAATAGCCTGCAGTACTGCACTCTATAACCACTGTGCCACCTCAGCAAAGGTCAACAACTGAATATGTAAAATAAGAGGAAGTTATTTAATTAGGAAAATCTATAATATCTGTGCTCTGATGGTGGCTCTAAATTACTGATATAGAACCTGTAACCCTAGATGTTAAACTACAGCTTTCAACAGTTCTGGTTAGCAAGAACAGTGATAAAGAATAGTTTGAGTGTTAAGTTAGCCACAGGTTTTTCACTCTTTGATCTGGTATAGGTCCATGAAATGTTGGATTCCAGTCAGTGGTGGGTTTCAAAAATTTTTACTATCGGTTCTGTGGGTGTGGCTTGGTGGGCGTGGCATGGCATGGCTTGGTGGGCATGGCAGGGGAAGGTTACTGCAAAATCCTCATTTCCTCCCAATCAGCTGGGACTTGGGTGGCAGAGAATAGATGGAGGTGGGGCCAGTCAGAATTTTTACTACTGGTTCTCCGAACTACTCAAAATTTCCGCTACCGGTTCTCCAGAACTGGTCAGAACCTGCTGAAACCCACCTCTGATTCCAGTCTAACTATACAAGTGGCTTACTATGGTTTTTTTTTTTTTTTATTTGAATGTTTTTAATAGAAACTGGGGACAGATTCTGAAGAAGAAGAAGCAGAGAAATGTTCACATAAATGGCCTAAGAAAAGTGCTGCTCCTCTTAAAGTTGCTCTGAAGTTCCCACCACGAAGGTCTAAGAGGGGAAAGAGTAAAACAGTTCCAGCTTCACAACCTTCCTGTAAATTGGACTCTGAGGCAGAATCTGATGAAGAAAGTGGACCCAAATTCTTGGAGAGAAGAGCTTTAAATATAAAGGAGAACAAAGCCATGGTAAACATAAAAGAAAGTCCTCAAGAAACTGGTTTTTTTCTGAATGGTGGATTAATTTTGTGGCTTGTGTTTCATTGTAAAAACACATTCAACTTCTTGATGCTGCTTCGTTAAATATTTTAATGCTACTTAATTGATTATCAACCTCAGGCAGCTTAAGCAGTACTCAAAATTATAATTATGCAGGCATTTTTAATCTCATTCCTTCAATATTGTCTATCTTTGCCATTTGAATAAGGTCTAGAATACTTTGTGAAAAATTCTGAAACAATTGGAAAAGTAGGTCCAGTAGATCAAGAATAAATGACCTGTTTTATTACTGTGTACTTGTCTCCATAGTCATGGAGATGACCAAAGGTTTTGATCACTAGTTTTTTTTTATGCCTCTTCAGTAATCTGATCAGCTTTATAAATAGTCTTTGTATGTGTTGTGTCTATACAGTTTCTTTAATATACATTCTGTCTGAGATTTCACTACTTATTTCCTGTTCTTCATTACAGCTTGCAAAGCTAATGGAAGAATTAAAAAATGTGTCTGGAATTTTTACTAAAAGAGGCCCACTCGCAACTCCTACTCTGGTAAATCACACTTACACACTTTGTTAATTTCCTGGTTTATTTCATAATTATCCAACAAGAAGTATCACTATTTTTGAAGCCTGTTTATTGATGAACTTAAAGCAAATAAAGTCCATTGCCTTACTATATTATAAAATAATTGCCACTTGTAATTATTTTTTGATTTGCCCATCTATAAAATTTCAGTGCTCAGTTAGACATGCCAGGAAGTTTTTAAACCTAAAACTAATACATCAAAAATCTTCTTGAAATAAACACATGCACTTCTAAATCTCAGAGTTCAGATCTGGATCTTGCTTAACCAAGTCCATGATTAGCAAACCATGCTAAACCAGGTGCCGGTGGATGCTTGACAGCTAACCTACATTTTGGGAGAAAAACATGCCAGGACAATCTGAGCAGCATTGATTCTATCATGTTTCATTTCCTGCGAAGTCATATTATGATTCAGTATTTCAATGGTCTCATTGGCCATACAAAAGAAGTTTTAGCTTTATAGTGTGTAAATGAATCACCAATAAATACAATTGTTAGAATTCTAGAAGTAGATGCATCAAAAAGATATTGAGTAGATGAAAACAGTTTTACACTGTACTTCCCTTATGTTAATTTGGCCAGATTATATTTGAGTGGTATGATTCATTAGAGCAGCAGGCTACCATTCTATGAACCTTTATTTGAGACTAAGTTTGCTGTAGTTTAAATTTGGAGAGGAATAAATTGCTAAATTTGAGGAAATGTCTTGTAGCTTATAAATGATTTAAAATTACATACCTGTCTGATTGCCATGTTACCTTTATCCTCATTCAAGAAAGCCCAGCGTAGTCCAAGGAAATCAGTTCCCAGAAGTGCTCCAAGGAGGAATCCAGAAAGAAGTTCTAGGCCTCACACAAGATCCAGATCCCTAATTGAAGGTCCTCCAAATTCCATGTTTATGGAGGAAGAGGAGGAGGATCCCTATGTGTTAGTGAGAAGGAAAATGTCTGAAGATTTTTCTGAGGTATGTTGGTGATATTTATTTCGGACAACCAAGTAAATTGATCCTTAAATAGCCTAGGTGATTTAGATAAAGGATTTCATATAAAACAACCATATCTAGTCATAATTAAGCTAGGCCAATAGACACTTTTTGTCTTTCGTGTCGTGCACAACCGTGGATATGGCCCATCTTGGTTTGATTGCCAAGACAATTCAGTAGCAAGATTTGCCATTGTTCCTGGCTGTATCTGTTTTTTAGAGCCCTTCAAAAATATAAGGCTGAGTGCAGCCCTTGGCCAGAAATCTGGCTTTGTCCTAATTGAAATGAAAACCCTTAAATTGTATTTCAGAAAAAAAGCATCTTCAGAATTGGAAATGAAGGAGAAATTGTACACTAAAGCCAACAAGCCACCTTAATGCAGTAATGTGTTTTGGTTAAGAAATGCAGGGACATCACTGCATAAATATTACAGTGCTTTACGGAACTCTTCAATGGCTTGATTTAATTTTTCTTCTGGATTCAGGATGAAAGGGACACCCCCAGAAGGAAGCGCACTAGTGCTATGACTCTTCCCCATGTCATCCGTTCAGTGGAAGAAATAACCGAGGAAGAGTTGGATAATATTTGTGAAACTGTGAAAGATAAAGTCTACAACCGTGCAACGGTGAGGTGACCGGTGTTTTGCATTCAGCCCTTTGGTTTGCTTTGTCCAAATTATGTTATAGATAGTGCATCGTTCTTGCTTTGATTGTCTCCTCTTTATTAGAGACTGATCCTACATTCTGATGCTTGCCAAGGGAATCTTTGATCCTTTGTTCTACCTCTTACTGCATAATTGCAGAAACTCCAATGCCAGGAAGTTTCCTAAGTTGATTCTTTGCAGTTAGGAGATCAAACAGAGCAGGTAGAGTACCTAGCCAAAGAGTGCTTTAAAGAGGAGGACCTTTCTCACTTCATGTAGACTTCACTGAAATATTTGATACATGACAAATACAGCTGAAGATTTGGATTGGGGAGATCCAACTCCGAGTTCCCATTTGATCAGGGAGTTCACTGGGTAACTTCAGGCCAATAACATTCTCAGTACAACCTATTCCTCAAGATTGTTGCTATGAAAATGAAAAGGCCTTATTTAAGCAGTAAAGTAACTTTTCAGAGAGGGAAAAAAGATGGAGTAAGGAAGTCTTGGGTCTAACGCTTTTCATTTGCTACCGTTATCTGTACATGTTGGTGAGAATTTTAAATGCAACACATCTCTCTGCTCCCTCTTCCAGATTAAATGTGATGGTTCATACCAGGGGTGGTATTCACTTACCTTCGCTACCGGTTTACAAATGTGAACGCGCTTGCCTCCACGCATGCACAGGGGGTCAAAAACGGGACGTGATGACATCTGGGTGGGTGGGCGGAGCCTCCCGCTGCCGGCACTACCGGATTGCGTGATCCGGATAGAGCTGGCTGAATTTCACCACTGATTCATACCTAGTAATAAAATGGAGGTTCACATGTGGCTTTATTGATAAATTGTAAAAAGAATATGTTTATCTAGTTCAGATATAATGGCATCTTTTGGCTTGTTGCTATTTAAATTTGATTAATTTACAAAATAAAGGGCTGAAGCAGTTGGTACTTAGATAAACTTCAAATACATAAAATCTGGGTGTGTTTTTTTCAGATAGGTATTTAGTGGCCATAATTCTAAGCCATAAGAGGATTTGTTTGCTTTGGCTTACTGAATTCTATAGAGAGCCAGTTTGGTCTAGTGGTGAAGGCACCAGGCTAAGAACCAATAGACTTGAGTTCTGATCCCACCTTAGGCATGAAAGCCAGCTGGTGATTTTTGGGCCTGTCCTTTTCTCTCAGGCCAACTCATTTCACAGGATTGTTGTAGGGAAAATAAGAGGAAAGAGTATTAAGAGTATTGTTCGCTGCCTTGAGTTATTTATAAAAATAAAAGGATAAAAAAAATTTGAAATGTTAAAAAGTATGTGCATTATAAATGTGTGCACTATATGCACTATAACTTAGACCATGTGTAAATAACCACTGGGTCCATATGATAAACACACTAAGATGGGACAAGGGTGCAATGTTTTTTCAAAGCAACCATCAACCTGGTATCCTTTGCCTTTGCTGCTCTCTTTAACAGGGTTCTACCTGTCACCAGTGTCGTCAGAAAACGACAGATACTAAGACAAATTGCCGGAACCCAGAGTGTCTTGGAGTACGTGGCCAATTCTGTGGGCCTTGTCTTCGTAATCGTTATGGAGAAGAAGTCAGGGCTGCCTTGTTGGATCCAGTAATTATTTTATTTTCATGTTTGCTTGAATGCATGCTAAAGTTCATTAAAAAGTAGAAATACAGGTAGTCCTCCTTTAGCGACCACAGTTGGGGCTAGCAATTCTGTTGCTAATGGAAAATGAAATGACCAGTAAGTTTTTCTTTTCCCCCCTCTCCTGTCCTTTGGAACATTCATCCTGGTACTGGGATAATTCCGCAAGAATGGAATTAATGTTTATATTCATTGGAAAAGAAGGGATTACAAGAGAGTAAATGAGTACACTAAGCAAATAGCACTAGCTCAGGGGTGTCAAATTCAATTTCATTGAAGGCTACATCAGGGTTGTGGTTGACCTTGGGGGTGGATGGGCGTGGCCAACTGGGTGGGCATGGCCATCTTGACGCCATTCCCCAACTGCTGGCATGTTTCCTCTTCGCATTGGGTGGACCTGGCCGAAGCCACAGTGGCCCGATGTTTCCTCTTCATGTTGGGTAGAGCAGGCTGAAGCGACACAGGTAGACCAGGTCGAAATGACCCAGGCTGGCCCCTTAAATTTTCCAGGACGGCTCCATGGGCCGGATCCGACCACATCACAGGCCGGATCCGACCCGCGGGCCTTGAGTTTGACACCCCTGCACTATCGGATTCCTTTGTGTGTCTGCTTACTCTTGTATTCTTTTCCCAATATCCTTGGTTTATGAAGGGGAGAATGGTATAGGGCAACATGTACAACTGACTATAATGGTGAACATGTGAGAGGGATCATAAAATGCACAACTTGGTCTTGATTATTTTTTCCATCACTGTCATAACTTTGAATGGTTAACTGCATGAGGCATTTGGTAAATGAAGTTTACCTATATTTTTTCAATTTCCTATTTAAAATGTGTAACATGTTTATGGTGTTCTAGCTGAATCGTGATACTGCCATGGTATTCTATCTGAATCATAGCCTAATAGCATTAGGATGCTCTACATTCTCACTCTACTTTTTTTCCTTTAGAACTGGTACTGCCCACCTTGCCGTGGGATCTGCAATTGTAGCTTCTGCCGGCAGCGGGAAGGAAGGTGTGCTACTGGTGTCTTGGTTTACTTAGCCAAGTATCATGGATATGATAATGTCCATGCTTACTTGAAAAGGTAAATTTCACTTTTCTTTATGAATCGGAACATAAGATACAAATTACTGGCAAGAATGCACAGATGCATTCATGAAAATCCAGATTCAAAGAGGCATTCCATGTTTAGAACAATATTAAGTTACTTGTTGATTGCCTTAGTTTCACTTTGTGTTTTTTTCACCCCTTGCAGTCTGAAACAAGAACTTGAAATGCAAGAATGAACTTCTGAAGCAATTCCAGAATAATCTTCAGCGCATATGCTTAGATTTGTCTGATTTGAGAATTCACTTTTATTAATGGTTGACATCTTTTAAAAAGGGGAGCAAAAATTGTGACTTTTGACTGAAGTTCAAAGTTGCAGGATAGTGGTTCGTCATATTGTTAAATCAAAGCTTTCTTAGTCCTGTTTCATGATGAATGCTACTGGATCTTAATTAGCATCCAGCAGAGCAGGTAGAAGTCTCCTTCAACCCATTGGGGAGCAGCGGCTTCATACAAAGGCTATAACCAACCAAAAGCAGTACTTGCCATTATAGTTCTCCTGAATCTCACTGTGTGAGATTTTCTGGTGGCAGTTTGCATAGGTACTTTCCCTATGCTACTCTGAGTTTACGTTCATGTTGGAACTGCCGCTGTCACATTATCCCTAACTATTGTTAATGTTAGCTGAGTCCAATTTTTGTTTCTCCTTTGTTGGAAAGAAAGTCTTTGGGGGGGACATTCAATGTATCTATATTTGCAGTTATCGTGTATAGTAGATTCAGTAATGAATCAAACGCTAGCTTTTAAAGCTATTGTAAATAGCAGCCGTGATTATCTAATTGCAAAGCAACTTAAATTCTTGATAAACTTTTTTTTAAAGAAGCAATGATAAAGGACTCAATATTTAGGTTCAAAATTTTGACAGTAATTGAAATGGTTTAAATCAGTAAGTGTGAAGTGTACTTGATCAGTCATGCTTAGGACCATGTTTTGTTGTGTTTAAAATAGTACTTACAATGAAAGTGTGACTAAAAGGGTCTTGAGAAGATTCAGACTTATGAAAAATTAGTAAATGGTTTGATCCTAAAACTTACTGTCCCCGAGATCTTGGTAAGGGATATTTAAAAGGAACCATTAGAGTTTTGGAAGGCAGTTTCATTAGGGCTGCAAAAATCCAAAAATAATTAGCTGGAAGCAAGTTGTTAAAGCAAACTGTTTCTTTGCTGTTAGTCTCTAGACTTTTGCAGAACAGTTCAAATAATTCTAAATTGGGTTATTGACCAAATAATTTCACTCGTCTAATACATAAAGCATCATGCCTTACATTTTGTCAAAAATTGTGTATTGTAGATAGGGATTCACAAGTCTTCCATCATAGTTTATGCTGGAGCCAATCTTGCATAATCTGCATATTGGATTGTAAATGCAAGGCTTTCAGGCAGCAATTTGATAAACTCTGTGCTTGTCTAAAGAAGTGACCATGAACAATACAGTTCCATGAGTTGTAATGTAGATAGGATCCTAACTGGTGACATTTCAAACTGTGTTGGTTAATAAGGCATGGAGCTTGTGCATCAAACACAGGTGGAGGTTGTGGCTTTCATTTACTAGCTGGTGGTGTATCTGCTTAAATGCTGTGCTAACTGGATAAAAGGCTACCCATCCAAAGTGCATTGGATATAAAATTCATCAGTGTTGAATAAACTGCAAGAGGGGAAATGGACAGATCCCTTGAGTTGCCAGGACCCTTTAAGAAGGAATCACTTGCTACTTTCCCATACATTATACTAAGTACCATTTGTAAGCAGTACAATATAAAATCTAAATGGAATTAAGAATATCTCTCTCACAAAGAGTTTAGGTTTAATTTTCATAATACACATTTCAGGGGGAAAAAATCATGGGATGTTTTGCTTTGCCTCTAAAATTGTGGTTCTGCTTTTCGTGAACAGGTGTTATAATGCTTGGACACATGTGGCTGTTAATTTTCTGAAGATTTGTTTTAAATGCAGCAAAAGGCAGTAACGCTACTCAAGTCTTTTCCCTAGAGTAGTTTGAACAATACTGTAACCTGATACTTTTTATGTATGAAATGTAATTTTGATTAATTAAAGTTTGCTTAGCAGTGGGCTGAAAAGGCCATTGTTTCTTGTGCTTCTGTGTGTGCCAAGGTCCCATGTTCATTTCAGCACTGATATTTTGTGTACAGGATAAACCATGCATGACTCTGATCCTCTACGAAAACTTGCAGTACATATTTAGATTTTTCATATTTAATTGTAATTGGATCAAGATTAGAGCAAGGGGAAAAAACACAGTTGTAGCAGAGAAATAAATTTAAAGTAAATATTCTCTCCCTCCCTCTCCTCATCCTTTTAAGCAGCAAAGTTGCCTTTAATAATCCCAACTTTGATCTTTGTCTCGTAATGTTCTACGGGCGATCTTCCCCATCCAGAGTATGGCCACAGTTAATCTAATGTATCTAGATCAGTGGTGGGTTGCCCCCGGTTCGGAACGGTTCTATAGAACTAGTAGTAAAACCGGCGGGAGGCTCTGCCCACTGACCCTGACGTCATCAGAAGCGATCTGCGCATGCGCAGAAGCGAGGCACATGCGCAATCCTGTTGCAAACCAGTAGTAAAGGTAAGTAGAACCTACCCCTGATTTAGATGACAGGTGCAGATAGCTCGGTTAGATGGATAAAGGTTGTGTTAGTCTATGGTAGCCAAAACTCAGGAGTCTGGTACCAACTCTTCAGATTAAAACATTTTACTAAAAGGCATAAGCTTTTCCGAGCAACAACATATATGGCATGCCTAGCAGTGAAGCTAATTGGCATGGAGAAGATTTTATACCAGGGGGGGAAAAATCCAGATTAGAATGGAAAGCTATGCTATGTACCTTTGTCTCTCCTAGACAAGATTTTTTTTTAGTTAAAGTGAGCCTGTAGTTCTCCTATTCTGACCTGAAGAACCTAGTTGGATCTTCACTTTTGAAAGCAAGTTCTGTTGAATGAGTTACGCTTTATATCCTGCACTTGGGATAATCCCTAAATTGAAAACTCGCACTGATTATAGAGATGCCAGGAAATCCGCCAGCGTATCTGTGAAGGCTGTACTATTTTGCATCACAAAGCAAACTCCCATCCGTTGTGAATAAGTCTTGCTTTAATCCAGAAAGATCTATATCCACAACTTTACCCAATTTCCTAGGAACATGTAATTAATCATTTGTACCTTATTTTTCATAGCAGCTTTCAATCCAAACCAATGATATATAGGAAATTGCCTTTATTATAAAATAACGGCATATTTCCCCCCCCCATAGTATTGCACTGCTGAAAGGGAGAGGGGAATTAAATTTGCTGATCTGCCTTTTCAAATCCTCAAGCTGAATTAAGGTAGCTTTTTACATTCCTGCCTATATAAGCAACCTCAAAATCCATTTTTCCCGTTGTATTAAACATACTTTGCTACTATGGTTATTCATGGTTTTACAGGGTTTATTTTCATTTGCTATCTTTTATCTTTATATCGAGGGATATAGATGGCCCTGTAACCCTTGACACCTGACATTAAACCCTGAAATAAAATAAAAAAAATCAGTAGTAGCTGGCACTGTGTATGGAAGAAAATAATTGTTTATGGCACACAGCTTAAGCTGTGCTGGTAATCACACTGAAAATACAATATTTATTCATTAGATCAAATTTAATGAAGCCTCCTGGCAGTAATTATAAAAATTACTGTAGCAGTAAATTACTAATGAGTTGTGATGTGCTTCCTACCTGCGAGGAAGGACTGGCTGTTGAAAAAGCCTGATATCCAAACAGCTCTCAGGAGGATTTGCTCTTGGGTGTAGGAATCAACTTCATGGCAGTCCTGGAGAGGACATGAGTGTAAATGCAAAATGGGAAGGCTGAAAGGCGGATTGGGATAGCTGTTGGAATTGATAGAACTTTTACTGGAGATAAATACTGCTTATATCTTAATGATTGGGATAGGTGTTTTGGAGAAAACCTCAATAAAGCAAACAAAATAAAAATAAAGCTAAGATGCTCCTTTTTGAAGTAATACCTATGCACCACCCTTTTATGTTAGCAGGCTGTACAAATTGTAATTTTAAAATCACTGTGAAGGAGCATGCATGTCCATGGCAAGGAAAAGTAGCCGTAAAAGCAGGACAGCTTGCTGGCATCCAGCCAGTGGTGGGTTTCAACAGGTTTTACTACCAGTTCTGTGGGCGTGGCAGGGGAAGAAAATCTCCATTCCTTCCCCACTCCAGGGGAAGGTTACTGCAAAATCCCCATTTCCTCCCAATCAGCTGGGACTCAGGAGGCAGAGAATAGATGGGGGTGGGGCCAGTCAGAGGTGGTATTTGCCAGTTCTTGGAACTACTCAAAATTTCCGCTACCGGTTCTCCAGAACTGGTCAGAACCTGCTGAAACCCACCTCTGCATCCAGCGTGTCCTTGTGTAGAATTCTGCTTAGCACCCTCCAAGACAAATTTTTCAATATTCAGAATACTGCATCTCTTCTGCTCCAGGTAGGCTATGCATAACTGCATTGCATAGCTTTTGAATATGAAACTGATAACCTCAACCCCATTTGCACACTGTGTTGCGTCCAACCTAACAATCCTATTTCCCTGGTCAATGGTATACGTCTTACAATTGACCAGGGAAATAAGATTGTGCTGAAGAGAAAGAATTCAGGTGCTGCTAGTACTTTTATTCATGGTCTCGAGATGTGGGCCCTGCAATGGAGAAGATCCCTACATGTTTCACTGCCAAACAGTGTTGAAGTCGTACAGTCAGAAAGCCTTCCGACCAATTTGTTTACAACACATTTCAACTTATTTTCTTTTAACATGTGCTGTGGTTGTAATTGCATCCTTTATTTTTCTGGCAGATGGGCATTGATGTGATGAGTGCATACTGTGTGATATTAGCACAGGTCGTAGCCAGTTCAGTACTTCCCTAGTCCAGGGGTCTGCAACCTTAAATACTCAAAAGAGCCATTTGGGCCCGTTTCCCACAGAAAAGAAAACACTGGGAGCCACAAAACCTGGGTGGACATGGCCAACTCGATGTCACTGACTTCCACCAGTCACATGACCCCCCCCCAGCCACGCCTACCCAGCGGTCATTAGGGCAGAGAACTAGTTGTTAAAAAACACCGGGCACCACAAAATCCTTTTGACATATCTCTCTCCCCCCCCCCCCCAACTCCCAGAGAGATACAACTCTCTCTGTATCTCTCTGTCTCTGCCCTGGCCGCTTCTCCATCCCCCGCCATCACCTTTACCTTCTCAGGCCAGGTGAGGAATAACTGGGAGGGGAGGGCAAGGGGTGGGGCCAGCCAGTGGTGGGATCACCTGACGGAACCAAAACCGAGGGCCCAAAGAGCCTCATGCGGCTCCAGAGCCGCAGGTTGCTGACCCCTACCCTAGTCTATCCAGAAGACTCATCAGAACTAACACGGAGGCAGAACTTCAAAACCTCTTTGCCAGGCTATTTTGCAGTTCTGCATCTGTGGAGCAGGTGACTCTGTTTCTCCAGTCTGTGGAGCTGTACCAAGGGAAGACGCCAACTCAAACTGGAGGTTGGGCAAAAATGCTGGCATTTTGGATTATAAAAATTTCCTCAAATTCTAATGTTTTGAAAATGTACATAAAAGATGAGAAGCCCTTAAAAAAAAGAATAAAATGTATGTTCATTTGGGGCTGGTGAATGTATTGAAAAGCTAAATATGACTGGATTTCCTCATTCCTGCAAGATGATTATTGAAGGTGGGGGTTTGTTCATTCACAAAAGGATTGCCATGAGAATGCAACTGGTGCTGCAGCCTCAATTTCTCAAAATGCAATCTTGCTGGATGCTTCCTCATTCATACCTGTTCACCTTTCCTGGGCAAGTGGGCACAGTTGCAAGAAAAACATTTGGGCATGGCCAAAGTAAGCTTCTGTTTGGAGTCAAGGGGCATGGAGCGGGGTGGGCATTTTGGAGAGTGCACTTAGGTGCTGTCTGTAAATCAAAATATTGCCAAGGGATGATCAAACATTTCTAAAATCAGTCTATACGCATCCATCAATAGTGCAGTAGCTGGATTTCCCCCCCACCCCCCCAGGGAAGAATTACATCCAAGAAGCAGCTTTTGGGCTCATAGTTGTTAGCAATAGCAATAGCACTTATATACTGCTTCATAGAGCTTTACAGCCCTCTAAGCAGTTTACAGAGTCGGCATATTGCCCCCAACAATCTGGGCCCTCATTTTACCCACCTCGGAAGGATGGAAGGTTGAGTCAACCTTGAGCTGGTGAGACTCAAACTGCTGAACTGCTGGCAGCTGGCAGTCAGCAGAAGTAGCCTGCAGAACTGCGCTCTTAATCACTGCGCTACCATTGCTCTTAGTTGTGGTGGAGTGCCAAGAAATTGTACTCGTGCATCTGTGAATGGCTTAACTGACATCATCTCTACATCCTGCCTCTGCATTTAGCATGTAACCTGGGAGTCTGCAGAGCATCCAAGTGGAGAGAAAAGAGAAATGGGAGAGGAACGTGGTAATTTTTAACTGGCTCAATCTATCCATGAACTAGCCACTATTTCATTAGCAAAATCTTTTAATGAGGAGTATACATACCCTCCTTCCATCCCATACAATACAGTACTTATGACTGTCTTTCTATCTCCAAGCACCACTTCAAATACTTTGTAGTGTAGAACTGTACATCACATAAATGCCAGCAACCAATTTAACAACATAAAAGGAACAGTTGAAACTTTGATCATTTAAGTCAGGGCTGTCAAACTTGCTGCCCGCAAGCTGGATGCATCATGCGCTGGCCACGACCACACCACGACGGTTTAGCAAAAGGGGAAAAAGTCCTGATACATCATGTGATGCCACCGTGACAATGTGAGTTTGACACCCCCGATTTAAGTCATTTCAGGCAGGACTTTCATAGGGACAACAGGTGCTGGGCCAGCTTGCTAGAGGACCTGATTACTTATGCTAATGGAAAATTTAAAAATCACTATGCTTAGTTATGATGCTCTGACATGGTGCTGCCACAAAGGACTTACATTTTCAATTAGAGATCTTCATTCTAAGCAAAGAGAGATGCATTCTACGGTCCAAA